AAATTACGACATAATAAGTCGTAATTACGACATACGTATGTCGTAATTTCGACATATTATGTCGTAATTTCGACATAATAAGTCGTAATTACGACATACGTATGTACATACATATTACTATAATACATATTATTATTTTAATGAATTTGTATAAATCATCATTTTGGGTGTGTGCCACCGTAAAGTACTGTAATTCCAAATAAAAGCTAAACTAAAACTACAATACACTATAGCTACTAATAATGGTATTACACGACGTATTACGCTTGACGTATTAATATCAATGTTAAATAAGACATGTAGTGTCATGCTGCGTCCGACAGGCGTACACTGACACGACTGTCTTACGTTAACAACAACAACAACAACAATAATAATAATAATAATAATAATAATAATAATAATAATAATAATAATAATAATAATAATAATAATAATAATAATAATAATAATAATAATACAGAATCGTTTATCCCTTTTCTGTGTATATATTAATAACGTAATTTCACTAAACTAAATAACTATGCAACCCCTCTGTGTAAACATTATTAGTAGCTACAGTATAGTGTATTGTAGTTTTAGTTTAGTTTTTATTTGGAATTACTTTTATTACAGTGGCACACATCCAAAATGATGGTGCATTCAAAAGAGAAAAATCAACGGTAAATTGAAAAGAAAAATAACTTAACTGCTAAAATCGTTACAAACTAGAACCAAGGTTTGGTAAATAAAGCAAATTGAAAACATTTTATACAAATTCATTAAAATAATAATAATAATAATAATAATAATAATAATAATAATAATAATAATAATAATAATAATAAAGAAAATAATCTTAAAATATCAGTGTTACTTATGTATGAATGTAAATTTGTAAAAACATATTGAATACATACACATACACACACACACACACACACACACACTGTATGAATGTAAATTTGTAAAATCATATTAAACTTTATACACATACACACACACGAGCACACACACACACACATATATATATATATAATTATTATTATTATTATTATTATTATTATTATTATTATTATTATTATATGCTAATTTCAATTTATATAAGATGGAACGTGACTGTAGCAATGCCGCAGCCAAGATTTTCAAACAGTGCGGGACAATATCAGGGTGGACCCAGTTTCTTTAATGTTGGCCCATTACGCAAAGATATGAAAAATCTGGACCCATTTTTCATGAAGTGGATTCATTTCATGCATGAAATTGCATAATCTGGACCCATTTTTAAAAACGTGGACCCATTCTTTGTGGACCTATTAGATAAATTGTGTTAGTAGAGCGGCTAAGGTTGTATTTCAGGTAAAATTGCACTTCTGGAAGAAAGCATGAAACTTCCCACAGAGATACTATGACACCTAAAGATCATTAAAAAATATAGACCCCAAAAAATAACGCCTCATAATGGCCACCATCTTGAAATCCAATATGGCGCCAAAATATTTGATTTTCACCAATATATTCATATATACAGCACATGTCATTGCCAAATGAAGATCATTACCCATGTTTTCAATATCAGGGAGTGTCAGTATGCAATCATCAGAAATTATATCAGATGGGACCGCCATATTGGATTTCAAGATGGCCGCCAAATTAACGATATTTTTGTCAATATTCATATCTACAGTACATAGCACTGTCAATCAAAGACCGTTGCCCATGTTTTCGATATCAGGGACTACCATGCAGCCATCAGAAATTATGTCAGAAGACCACCATATTAAATTTCAAAATGGCCGCCATCTTGATATTTAATATGGCCGCCAAATTTTAGCCTATGTATTCATATTTACAGCACATATCACTCCAACTGAAGATCATTATCAATATCAATATCAGGGAGTGTCATGCAATCATCAGAAATTATGTCCGATATCGCCGCCATATTGGATTTTAAGAATCTGCTCTCAGATAACTGAGAGCAGATTAGCTTAGTTGGCTAATCTGGTGGTAGCCGCTGTGTGTGCGCTGAACCGTGGAGATCTCTAGGTCCCCGGTTCAATTCCCATCGCTGCCTCTCCTTGTGTTTCAGCTAGAGGGCTGAAATAAAGTTACAATAGTGCACCGTCTTTCGGATGAGACGTTTAAGCCGTTGGTCCCGTTTGCATTATGGCCCATGTGAAAGAACGCAGTACACTCTTCGGAAAAAGAGTAGAGGATTGTCTCCCGGTGTACTGCTCAATCACCACCAGAAGGACCCCACTGGAAATAAATCTTCTTCTAGACTTTCGTGGGCTATCCTTGGTGTTTACACCGAATAAATCCAATCCAATCCAATGGCCGCCAAATTATTGCTATTTTTGTCAATATCTTATCTACAGCCACTGTCAATCAAAGACTGTTACCCATGTTTTCGATATCAATCATGCATCCATCAGAAATTATGTCAGAATGCCACCATTGAATTTCAAGATTGCTGCCATACTAGATTTCAAGATGGCCGCCAAATTAATTATTGATAACGTTGTAAATATCGTCATATCTACAACACCTAGCCCTGTCAAAGATCTCTATTCGTGTTTTCGATATCATGCAGATATCAGAAATTATGTCAGAAGGCTGCCATATTGAATTTCAAGATGGCTGCCATATTGGATATCAAGATGGTGGCCAAAATATTTGTTTTCATATTTACATATGTAAAGTACAAGTACTGTGAATCAAGATTGTGTATGTATAATTAGGGATATCATGCAATCATCAGACACCTCATAATCATAGTGAGACCTGCCTATGGCAGTAAAGTAACACCATTTAGAAAGAAGTTCAACAACTGCCACGTTAAATTTCAGAATGATTGCCAATTAAGAAAGGTACATGAAAGAAATGGATATTAAAAAAATTAATAGAAAACGGTTAAGGAAAATTAAAAAATAAGTAAATAACTGCTTTGTAAGGTATGAGAGCAAGTTCAGAGGGAGAGAGATAGATGCATATATTAAACATCGTTTATATTAAAGCCAGTTTTAGCATAAATGAAATTATGTAAACATAAACCAAAAATTCAAATTAATGATGTGAAGACACTAATATCGAATAGACCTCATATCTATGAGATGGCTAATTATCATTTTCAAATGATATATAAACATATGTAAATATTGAAAGGGAAAGAAACAGAAAAGAAAATTAAAGGAAGGAAAAGAAAGAACGGAAAGGAAAAGAAAAAACTGGAAAGTGAAAAGAAATAAAGAAGAATAGAAAATTAATATAATGGAGAAAATGAAAAGAAATAAAAGAAACATCAAGAAAAATTAAGAAAAGTATATAGATAACTTTAGCATAAATGAAATTATGTAGACATAAATTATATCACATTCAAGTAATGGTATGCAGGCAATAATGTCGAATAGACTTCTAAATATCATTTTCAAATATGTATATATATATATATATATGTATATATACCGTATATATATATATATATATAATCAATTTTTGTGTGTAGCACTATGTTTATATAATTAAATAATGGTGAAAACAGAGCTTGAATAAATGAAAAGTGATGAGAGTATCGTATCGGGAATAGCCTAACAAATAAAAATAAGTTTCTTAGTAACTGTTTGAAAATGTGCCCTTGGCGACGGGAATTAAAATGTGATTTCTTGCTCAGTCTGTCGAGGTGAGTGCCATACATTTATTTACCAAATTATGATGCTTGTCGCACTGTTAAGAACTTGTTACAACTTGTTAAGGATTGTTAAAAGTTGTAATATTTTCTGTTAGTGTGAAATGGGTAATACTCATCCAAACCTGGTTACAACTTGTTACAAGTTGTTAATATTTGCAAAATAGCATCAGTGTGAAATGGGTATTAGTAAAGACACATACAAGATTGAGAAACTAAACAAAGTATTAGTTTTATAATCATCTCATTTGCATATTGTAGTATTTTTTGTAACCACTTCGGTATGTGAGCTTTAATCAATTTCACTACATTACATTATGACCCAATAGAGGTCGAAAAGTTGAACCATGGCCTCTCTCTCTCTCCAAACATTGTTCGTCCGTCTGTTGTTTATTGAATGAATGACAGGGATGAAGCGGTTGGCGCATCGGTTGTGGCTTTGGACTCCCAACCTCGAGGTCGGGGGTTCGAAACTCTCGCTGTGCAAATCGCTTGTGTTCTTGGCCAAGGTACTCTATCTACGGTTGCCTCTCTCCACCCAGGAGTATAAGTGGGTACCTGGTTGGTTCCAACACAACTGCGCTGATTACTAGCCGCAATATTATGGAAAATAATATAATTTAATAATTTAATAATTTAATTTGGTGTTCAATGTGGTCCATATGTGTTTGATCCAATGACCTGGGTAGTAATGTTAAGGCATTAAGTGCTATATAAGAACGACATATTATGGGAACACTTTTTTTTTCTTTCCAAACTTTATGAAAGTATTTAACCTTGACGTTTTGTTGTGGCATTGTTGGTTAGATTATTTCCATTTGATTGATTTTACTGTGGATCTTTATTCAGTTATTATATACTTTGGTTCAAGTCAGTATTTGTTGTTCCATAGGCGTGGTAGTTTTACTATATACACAATACCGTCGAAACTTGATTCGTCAGATATGTCACAATGACGGTATGGGCGACATACGGTACCCATTAACAAAATTGGTTAATTCTGTCTAAGGAGACCATAGTGTGAGGTGTACCAATAATAATGGTCGTACAAAAATATTTCATTTTCACGTTATTTTGTTTACTGCTGTATAACTGCTGTAAGTTGTTTGTTTTTATATATCTCCAAATCATTCTAGTTATGTAGTTGAACGATATTGAATAGGCCTATCAATTTTAATTTGCAAATTCCAAAAAAAAAACAAAAAAAAAAAAACGTTCCAAATACGTCAGTACTTGCTAAAATTTTCGCAAGTGATTAGGATGGGAATGGAACCCATGTATGGCAAGACCCAGCTGTTTTAAGCCTTCGAAAACTATTATTTTATCTACCTTTGGTATTATATTATTTAAGTTTGTTATTATTATTAACATTTATTATCATATTCCGTACATTTATTATTATATTATATATGTTTATTATTGTATTATTTACGTCTATTAGTATATTATGCACGTGTATTATTATATCATATATGTTTATTATTATATTATATACATTTATCATTATATTATGTACGTTTCGTATTGTATTATACGTTTGTTATTATATTATATATCTTCATTATTATATTACGTGCATTTATTAGTATATTACTTACATTTATTATTATATTACATACGTTTATTATATTATTTCCATTTAGTATTCTATTATGTACGTTATTATTATATAACCTACGTTTATATTATATATGTTTAGTTTTATATTTATCAACATTTGTTATATTATGTACGTTTAATGTTATATTATTTATGTCTTTTATTATATCATATACAGATTTATGATATTAAACGTACGTTTATTATTACATTATATACATGTATTAATATATTATATAAGTTTAGTATTCACTATTATATTATCTACATTCAATATTATTTTTTTATAATTCACTATTATATTATCTCCTTCATTATTATACACATTCACTATTATATTATCTCCTTCCTTATTATAAAATACACATTCAATATTATTTCATTGCAGTTCACTTGTATATAGCAGTTAGGCTTAAGTAGTATATACAAGTTCAAATCCTTCATTATTATACACATTCACTATTATATTATCTCCTTCCTTATTATAAAATACACATTCAATATTATTTCATTGCAGTTCACTTGTATATAGCAGTTAGGCTTAAGTAGTATATACAAGTTCAAATTACGTTGCAGTATAATAAAGACTGCTTTGACATTAATTCTGAAGGCATATACAGTATTTTAAATTATAGTTAGTTAAATCTGCATTCCAGTGGTATATTTTAGAATAATTAATGTTCCCTGCTTGGAAAATCGAACCTTAATAAAGATGTCAACTGTCAATTGTTGTCATATTAAGAATTAAGCCGAAAAATTAAAATCAATTAAAAATCTCAGGGGCGGATCCAGACATTTTCTAACGGGGAGGGGGGGCACAATATGAAGTTCACGCCGCCAAGCCACCCTCCGCCCCACCATGGTTGGTGTAAATAAGTGGTAAACAATTGAGCTCTCCTTTCTCCCACTGCTAGATCGCCACTGAACTCATGGGTCCACTCCCTTTTTCCCCCTTTCCTCTCTTTTAACTCAAATGTTTCTCCCTCTCTTTTATTTTCGGCTCAACCCCCCCCCCCCCACTGGATCCGCGCCTGATTCTATTCAAATCTTTAATAATCTAATTTAAATATTTATTAGGGGCATTAATTAAATCTATAGAAAAAACCTTGTTTTGGTGAATTCGGGACTATGTTTGCCCTTTGTGGGTTTTTTTAAAATTATTTATACAGGAAAGAGATATATCAGGTGAATGTTATATCCTATTTCATTACCATGTAACATAATTATCTAAATTTATAATAAATTATTTGTGTTCTAACTATATACAAGCTTTTTACTTTTTGCCAATTACAAATGTGGAATGTAACAAAGATACTTAAAATATCTAAACCCTATCATTATCATAGTAAGTTAATTAACGAATGGATGCCTATCTTTTCTATAGAAAATTAGTTGAATTGTTGAAATATTAATTTACCTAACTATATCACGGCCGTCGGAACCGCACCGGCAGCACCGGCTTTGGCCGGACAACTTAATATCAATTTTATCTCCTTGTTTGCTTGCTATCTCTTTTCTTGTGGCTGTCTCCTAAGAGAAAATGGTGCGGCTATTCAGTCTGTCCGCATCTATTTCCGGATATTTAAAAGTGCCAAAAAAGATGTACACTTCATGGTGGAGGGCAGGGGTAGATATCCTCTCAGACCCCACTAACTTTAAATCATGTATCCGTGGAATGGGGTGGCAATTTCAAAACCAAATGTTTTAAGCTGTGTGATATGGAGGATACATTTTAACATATTTTTGTTACAAAATGTTAGTCTTCACAAATATATATTAGTGTGTGTATTTTAGAGATCGACTGGATGAAAAATATCGGAAAAGAAGTAGCAAGTTCGTGTCTATCAGGTCTGAAAAAAATCCATCAGGTGGTGTGGGAATGGTGGGGTGGAGGGGGGGGGGCTTCCCATAAGTGTTTAAATTGTACTGTTATTTAAGTACCATTTAGGAAAAAATATAGGAGGTTCTTTTTAGGAAAATCCATCTACCTTCAAAATGGCTTATCGACTTACAAATTGTTTGTAACTGTAACATAGTTTCTCGGTTATATTATTAATATTGGTTTAAGCCAAACCCATACCCTTTGAGTAGGTGCTACACATTTGAACACATTTCAATGTATACTTTCTGATATTTGTATTTGATTGAATTAGACTCTCTTTTGAACCTATGCTAGACATATCTATCACTCAACTTATACAGACCCATAATTGGGTGATAGGGCATCATATGCCCATATATAGGCACAACACACCAATTTTTCCTCATTCAATTGTTTAGTGTGGACTGAGCATCAAACACAATACGCTAAAAATGCTAAAATCTAAAACTACTAATTGATAAGTAAGGATGACCCTATACAATCATAGTAACAAATAACTATATGACAGAAAAATAATCATTTTAAAAACTATCATCATCAATGTAACATAATTCAATTAATTTTTTTATTATCATTATGGCAATAATAATTATGACGATTATAATAATTTCATTAAAGATCTGATCACAAACAAAAACAAAAAAAAAACACTCCGGTCTAGCCTATTTATACTCATGTTGCCCGGTTGTCTAGGGGAAATTAGCAAGAAAAAACATTTTTGTTAAGTTAAAAAAAACAACGGAATTTATGTGACGATCTCTGCACAGAAGGTATCACAGCCCAAAAGTACACTGTTGCTAGTTTTCAGCTCTTCACATGCAGTGAGTGTTGAATTATTAAGATGATCCCATAGACATTCACCAACATTACAGGATGGCATGTAACGTTATTCTCTCTCAACAGATGATAGTTTGATCGTTCAATCTGGTAGAACATTTTAATCCAATATACTTTAATTCAGTAGAACTGTTATATTCAATAATTAAACACTGGTGGTCTTCAATGCTGTAGGTAGGCCAGCCTAAGCCCTCGGCGGGGCGCTAGGGTCTCATCTAGGCTAGGCTAGGCCTAACCTAGCCTAGCTAGCCTAAATAAAGCACGATTTATTGCCATTGGGGTGAGAGACCTATATACATTCAACAGCTGATTGGCTTAATTGATTTTGGGCCCTTTGTTAAATATTAGAATGGGGATTAGATGTATTTTTTTTGCAAAAAAACTTTCACCTACAGTGTTTAACGGGCCGGCGGAACCGGGGGGTGGGAGGGTCGGAGGGGCGTACCACTTTTTGGCAAAAAATATATAATGTCTGCAGATTTTTGTATGATTGGAAAGAAATGCAAGAAATGAAAGAGGGAAGGAGGCGTAGGATGGAAAGAGAATGTTTATCCAGTCCCCAACCGAGTTAAATTTTCTCGCGATTCACATTGGCGGATCTGGGGGAGAGGGTAATGGGTCCTGACCCCTCCCTTGGCCAAAAAAAAAAAAAAAAAAAAAAAATCAAAAAAAATTCTAGACCTAACTTTTCAGGACCCGTGAGCGGTTTTTTTTTTTTTTACAATAAGAAAATTAGAATTTTGAAGAACGTCATTAAAACACTTCCACTATAGGGAAAGCTTATTTCCTGCCATCTAGGAATCAACATTTTCCCAGTGGATAATCCCCGGACCACCCTTTCTTTTTGGGATTTATCGATTCATGGAAAAAAGAATAGGCGTGCAACTACTTATTTATTTATTTATGTATGTATACACACATAAAATAAGACATGAGAAAAATTTACCTGACCGTTTTCAAAAGGAAAACTCCTTAAATTTTGAAGAACTTAAAAAGTCATTTAAAAGACATTTCAGAAGTCAGGAAAGCTTATTTCCCGCATTCTAGATATCGAAATATTTCCGGGGTAACCCGGACACCCTTTTTCAATGGAATTCATTGATTCATTAAATCATTTTCAAGATGGGAAAAAATTGAATTTTGAAGAAATAAAAAGTAATTAAAAGACACCCCAGAAGTCGGGAAAGCTTATTTCCCGCCTTCTAAGAATCAAAATTTTCCTGGGAGAGAACCACGACCCCCCCCCCACCTTCCTTTTTTTGAATTGATTGATTTATGGAAAAAATCGTATGTAATTACTCAATTTGTTTATGTATGTAAACACACATTAAAAAAAGACACGAGAAAAATTTATCTGACCATTTTCAAGAGGGGAAAACCTTGAATGTTCACAGCTGTGAGTAGATGAATTATTATTTTAATGACTCATTTTATAGTTGCATATTGCGGCTACCCTGAATATTAAAATTTTTTTAAAAGACATGCACCTATTTTTTTTTTTTTTTTTTTTGTTACTGAAAACTACCATGCTAGATAGTCAAAAATGACTTAATGCAAACTCATATTCCTCAAATGTGCTGGGCTTTAAGGGGGCTTCGCCCCCTTACACTGCCACTAGGGGCTCTGCCCCTGGACCTCGCCGGGGGCCCTAGGCGGCCCCCTGGCCCACCCTAAAGCTGCTCGCTTCGCTCGCAGGCTGCGCCCCCCTTTTCTGGCAGGCTGGATCCGCCCCTGCTGATGTTAAGGAGCTTTTTCGTTGCCTAATACGTTTTTAGCATT